CTGCTTCTCCCTCTGCCTATGTCTCTGCCTCTTTCTCTCTCTCTCTCTCTCTGTGTGTGACTATCATAAAATAAATAAAAATTAAAAAAAATAAACGTCTAAGTTTAAAACCCTTTCAGAGTATTTTTCTGAGTTATTGCAAACATCCATCCATATTTTCATCAGTCAATATATCAAATGTTGTCTGGATGTCAGTCATTATTCTAGATATTCTTTTTTTTTAAGAAGATTTTATTTATTTATTCATGAAAGACAGAGAGAGAGGCAGAGACACAGGCAGAGGGAGAAGCAGGTTCCATGCAGGGAGCCCGACGTGGGACTCGATCCCGGGTCTCCAGGATCATGCCCCGAGCTGAAGGCAGGCGCTAAACCGCTGAGCTACCCAGGGATCCCCAGTTCTAGATATTCTTAAGAAGAGTTAATAAATAATGGACATGTTCTCATTTCCTTCGGAGGGCTTGGAGTTTAGCAGTATGGATAAGTAGTGAGGAAATTTAAAATTGTATGTGTGTATGTTAAGGGTGTTGAGAGCAGAAGTAAAAGGCTCTGTGACTATATATAGGAGAAGCAACTATCTGGGATTTGAGGATTTAGTGAAGACTTCTTGAAAACATGATTTAAGCTGAACTCTGAAGAGAGACTAAATGATACTGAGAGTGGGGTAGAGTAATAATATATGCAGAGCAAGCAGCCATATACATTTGAGGAACGGAAAGCAGTTTAGCATGGTGTGAGCCAGGATTAGGGAAGTGGGGAAAGAAGTAGGAAAGTAGACTGGAGTATTAAGCAGGGCCTTAATTATGAAGAGCCCTATAGGCAAAATTAAATCATTTGGATCTCAAACTAACAACAAAGGAGAATCATTAAAGTGTCTTGAATTAGGGAATGAGGAGACAGAATGAAGAATGGACTGGAGGCCAGGACGCATGGAATTGTGGGAACCTCTAAGGGACTATTTTAGAAATCTAGTTAGGAGACGATGATTGTTTGAACTAGGATGGTAGTTCTGTGGGTGGACAGAAGTTGATGGATGTGAGAAATTTTTTAGAAGATATGATGAGAATTAAGGAATGATTTAATATTGGAATCAATTGATTATAATGAATATTGCCTTGAGTAGAAAATGGTGATACCATGTCTGGATATGGAGAATATAAGGAGTTTAGGAAAGAGGACATGGTAGATTATTCTGCGACATTTGGACTTCAATATGTGAGTAGAGCTGCAAAGTGGAAATACCATACATCAACGTGCAGTAGTTGAACCATGAACATTAAGGTACTCACATAGAGAGGGTAATATAGAGTGAAAAGAATTTACTTAACTGAACTTTAAGGACAATAACTTTTAAGGACAGGATAAGAATCTTACATACACACATACACACATCAAGAAGATGCGAGAGAGATGGGAAGAAAACCAGGAAAATTAAATGTGATGAATGCAAAGGAAGAAAGTGTTTTATTTATTTATTTATTTATTTATTTATTTATTTATTTATTTATTTGAAGAAAGTGTTTTAAAAAGGAAGGAATGGATAACATATCAGATACTTCCAAAGAATGAAGTAAAATAATCAACTGGTTTAGGTAGACCATCATTGACTTTGGAAGACTTTGGAAGAACCAAATTACTGTGAACAGTGAGTGAAAAATAAGGAGGTAGAAATAGTGAATATAACTGTGAATTTAGATTAGCTACAAATAGGAATAAAGAGTTAGGACAATGGCTGGATTAGGTTGTAAGACTATGGAGGAGACTTGAGTACAATTGACCCTTGAACAATATGAGGGTTAGAAGTGCCAACTCCCACATAGTCTAAAATCTGTATATAACTTTCAACTCCCACAAAACTTTTTTTATTTAAAGATTTATTTATTTATGATAGACATAGAGAGAGAAAGAGGCAGAGACACAGGAGGAGGGAGAAGCAGGCTCCATGCTGGGAGCCTGACGTGGGACTCGATCCCAGGACCCCAGGATCGTGCCCTGGGCCAAAGGCAGGCGCTAAACCGCTGAGCCACCCAGGGATCCCACTCCCACAAAACTTAACTACTAATAGTCTATTGTTGACTGGAAGCCTTACTAGTGACATAAATAGTCGATTAACACATATTTTGTATTTTACATGTATTATATACCATATTTTTACAATAAGCTAGAGAAAAGAAAATGTTAAGAAAATCATAAGACAAAATACTTTATGGTATTGTACTGTATTTATTGAAAAATCCTAGTAAGTGGACCAATGCAGTTCAAACCTGTGTTGTTCAAGAGTCAGCTATAGTTTATATTCTGTTAAGAACTGGTTTCATAGATAATTATAGTATTATAATTTTCATAAATGAGTAAGGATGGCAAGTTTCTTCAGACTGGATCTTCTGGCACTGATTTTAGTGGGCATTGATAAGGCCCATAGTCTGGTTATTAGTAATGTTCCAAAAATTAATCTTACTTGTATTTAATGGTGTGCCAATAGGTTAGAATATTAATTGACTTAATTAATTGACTATTTTTAGAAAAGTTTCAGTTTTATAGAAATATTGATCTTACAGAGAGTTCCCATACATATTTCTACCACCCCCAATTCCACACAGTTTCCCTTATGGTTAATATCTTACATTAGCATAGTCTATTTGTTACAATTAATGAACCAACATTGGTACATTATTATTAACAAAGTCCATAATTTATTCAGACTTCTGTAGGTTTAAACTAATGCCTCTTTTCTATTCTGGGATCATGTCTCCTTAGTCCCCTCTAGGTTTTGATAATTTCCAAGACTTTTCTTGTTTTTCATAACCTTTACAGTTTTGGGGAGTGTGATGACCATCTACTGGAATTGGATGTTTTTCTTATTAGATGGGAGTTATGTGTTTTTGGGAAGAAGGTCACAGGGGTAAAGAGTGTCATTTTTATCATCTCATATCAAGGGTACATACAATCTGCATGATCTATGACCATTGACGTTGACCTTGGTCAACAGGCAAAAGTAATGTTATTTAGGTTTCTTCACTGTTACTTTCTCCCACCTATTTTCATACTACACTCTTTGGAATGAAGTCATCATGTGCAGCTCACACTTAAGGATGAGGAATTATTTTCCTCAACTGTCAGGATGGTATATCTAACTAATTTCTGTGGAATTCTTCTGCATGGGAGATTTGTCTCTTCTTTCTCATTTGTTAATTTATTTAATAATTTATTTATATCAGTATGGACTCATGGATACTTATTTTAACCTTTGAGTTATGATTCAGGACTACTTTATTTTATTAGTCCAACTGTTCCAGCTTTGACCTTTGGGAGGTCTTTTAGTTGACTCCTGTGTCACTTTGACCTTCTTCAGCATATTAAATAACATTTTTAAAAATTTGAGCACTCTGTTTCATCTCTTCATTCCTTTCATGATGAACCTCACCATGAGCCCTGGCAACCATTGATTTTTTTTTTTTTAATCTCTTACTCTAGTTTTGTCTTTTCCAGAATGTGCTGTAATTGGAGTCATGAACTATGTAGCATTATTCAGGCTAACTTCTTTCACTTGCAATATTTAAAGTTCCTCCATGTCTTTTTGTGGCTTGATAGGCCATTTTTAAAAATCCTTGAATAATATTCCATTGCTTGGATGGACTACAGTTTGTTTATTAATTTGTTGAAGAGTATCTTGGTTGCTTCCAGTTTGGGGTAATTATAAATAAAGCAACTATAAACATTTGAGTGCAGATGCTTTTATGTACATGTTTTCTTCTCAATTAGGTAAATACCTAAGAGCACGATTGCTGAAATGTATGATAATACTATGTTTCACTTTGTAAGATAGTACCAAACTGTCTTCCAAAGTGGCTGTACCTTCTTATCTTTCTACTAGCAATGAATAGGAGTTCCTGTTGCTGAGCTTGGTTGTCAGCATTTGTTGTTGTCAGCTTTTTTTTTCATTTCAGTCATTCTAATAATGATATCTCGTTGTTTTAATTTGAAGCTCCCTAATGAAAAATGATGTTGAGCATTTTTCATATACTTATTTGCCATCTGTATTTTCTTTGATGAAGTGTATGTTCAGATTGCTTTACCATTTTTATTGAGTTATTTTCTTAGTATTGAGCTTTAAGAATTATTTGCATATGTTAAATACAAATCTTTTGCCAAATATATGTTTTGCAAATATTTTCTCATTGTATGTGTCTTTTCATTCTCTTAAGGTTATCTCTCACAGAGCAGATGTTTTCAATTTTAACAAGACCAACTTACTAACTTTTTTCTATGATCATCATGTTTTTGGTGTTGCATCTAAAAACTCATCCTTAAACCAAAGTCACCTAGATTGTCTCCTGTACTATCTTCTAGAAATTTTATAGTTTTTCATTTTACATTTGGTTGTGATCTATTTCATTTTGTTTGTTGAAAGGTATGAGTCTTAAATCTAAATTTATTTTGCATTTGGGTATTCAATTATTCCAGTATCATTTGTTGAAAGACTATCTTGTTTCCATTTAATTGCCTTTTCTGCTTTGTTAAAGATCAGTTTCCTTTATTTGTGTGGGCTTATTTCTGGGTCCTATATTTTGCTTCATTGATCTATGTGTATGTTCTTTTTTTCTTATGTGTATGTTCTTCTGCCAAAACCATGCTCTTTTGGTTACTGTAGCATTATATTGTCTTGTAGTCAGTCTCAGATTTTTAACTTCTTTTTCATCTTTAATACAGTGTTGACTATTCTGAGTCTTTCATCTTCCCAAGTAAACTTTGGGGATGACTTTGTTGATAGCCACAAAATAACTTCTGGAATTTTTATTTGGATTACCTTGAAACTATAGATCAATTTGGGGAGAATTAGCATCTTAACGATATTGTGTCTTCCTATCCATAAACATGGAATATCTCTCTATTTATTTAGATATTCCTAAATTTCTTTTATTAGATTTTTGTAGTTTTTCTATATAAATGCTATACATTTTTAAAATTTATATGTTAATCATATTATTTTCTTGTTCTTTTTTTTTTATATGGGACACTTCACAAATTTGCATGTCATCCTTGCACAGGAGCCATCCTGATCTCTGCATCATTCCAATTTTAGTATATATGCTGCTAAAGTGAACAGTATTGCATTTTTTTGGTCTTAATGTAAATAGTATTATGTTTTAAGTTCCAATTCCAATTTTTCATCACTGGCATATAGGGAAGCAATTGACTTTTGTATATTAATCTTGTATTTTGTACTTCTGTTATGATCACTTATTTATTCCAGGAGTTTTTTTGATGATTCTTTGGGATTTTCTACATAGACAATCATACCATCTCTAAACAAGGACAATTTAATTTTTTACATCAAATACTGTGTACACTTTATTTTCATTTTTTTGGTATTAATGAGTTAGCACTTGTAGTATAATGTTGAATAGGAGTTTTGAGAGGGAATATATTTGCCTTGTTTTCAGTGTTACTAAGCATCTAGTTTCTAACCATTGAGTATGATGTTAGCTGTCGGTTCTTTACAGATGTTCTTTATCAAGTTGAGGAAGTTCCCTTAATTCCTAATTTGCTTAGAGTTTTTATCACAAATTAGTGTTTGATGTTAGGATGTGTCAATTTTTTTTAAACATCATTTGATATGATAATGTAAATTTTCTTTTGTAGCCTATTTATATGATTGATAACCCTAACTGATTAACATTTGTTGAACCAGTCTTATATACCTGGAATAAATCCCATTTGGTCATGGTATATAATTCTTTTTATATAATGTTAGATTTGGTAATATTGTGTTGATTATTTTTGTACCTATGTTCATGAGAGATATTGGTCTGAGGTTTTCCTTTCTTGTAATTAATGTCTTCATTTGTTTTCAGTATTAATTTTTAATGGAGATATTCCTGGTTTTTGAGTAAGGATTTTTAGCAGTGCAGTAACACCTATTTTATTCCTTCTAATTAAATTAAGTTTGATTTACTTCAATTTGATTCAATTAATTCAATGCAATACCATCATTAAATAATGTATAAGTCACTCTGCTATATAATGAACTTAGATGATAGATAAAACAGGTTCCAGACTTCTTGACACTGACAGTCAATGAATATGTTCCCTAAAGAGAACAAATTCTAGATCGTATTAGTTGGTGATGGAAAAAGGAAATTCTTTAAAAACTGTTTAGCAAAGCTTTGGTAGACAAATTGAATTAAGTATCTAATTAATCCTGAGGAGCATGGATTTTACCAGTTTTTGTTTGTATTGTATCCTCAGGGCCAAAAGACAGCTTCTGGAATAGAATAAATACTAAAGAAATTTTTATTGAATAAAAAAATAGTTGGTATATTTCTGAATGATAATCTGCAATGGTAGTCTAAATCTAGGCATCTTCAACTGTCCTAGAAATGTTTTTAAGTGCTTAATATAAGTGCTGTCCTTGACAATTTTTAAATAATTTTCATAATAATATTTTATTTTCTTATCACATCTTAACATCATTGTGATTGCAAATTATAAAAATGTTTGAAATTATGTTTTGATATATTTTTGATTGATCACTGATGGGGATTTAAAGAAAATAATTTTATTTAAAAATTAGCTCCTCTCCAAATTACATAAATGAATTATTATTTTAATGATATTTTCACTTCACACGCAGAGTGCCTATTGTCCTCCTTCCCCTTCTCAGTGAAGTTACTTGTAGTGTTCAGTACAATCGTAATTTTCATTACCCTGGGTCCAAAAGAATGTCCCTTCATTGACCAATGCACATTTTTTTTTCTTCTTTGTTTTATACCTCTACTTTTCTTTTAGTACTTGTGCTGTATGCTAAGGCATACTGACCACATATGCTTACTGAGGACTGAAATGTGACTAGTACCACAAGATGAAATTATATTTTCAATATATTGGATTAAATCAAACATATTAATAAATTGATTTTACTTGTTTTTTTTAATGTATCTACTTCAAGATTTAAAATTACATATATTTTTCATGTTATATTTTTGTTGGGCAATGTTGGAGACTGTTAAGGTTATGTGGGGTTGCTATTTACTTGTCCATGGGAATAAACTAATTGTGATTTTTAAATTGCTTATCATGCATCTACTTGTTTTTTAGGTGCCCAGAGAAAAAGACAAGCAACTTGCCACCTAAACATTGATGTTTCTAATAGGCTTTTCCAGTGGTGGGGAGTTGGTAGCACATTGGTGGAGTCTGATATTCATGAAAGAAGACTCCAATGGGTCAAATGACATGTCTAAATAATCTAGGTAACCTAATTAGGCTGTATTATCTCCTTTGACAAGAATATTAATACAGTACTAGAATTTATTCTGAAGTCTTTACCTGGTTTGGATTCCTAGACCATGTTCAAATTAGTGTAGTTTCTTTGCTACTTATTCAACAGAGGAGGGAGCATCTGTTTTACTCTGAACATTCTTATTATCTGTACTACTAGTCTTTGAATCACACTAAATTATTTTTCTAGCCTTGAGGTCTGTGCCTTTCACATTCTGCAGACCATCACACAATTTCCCCCATTTTTTTTTTCTTAGCAAATTTGTCTTGGGTAATTTATGCTTCATTTATATTTCCATGAATAAAATAATCTGACTCATTCATCATTTTGATTGCTATCCTTTGGAACACTTCCTTATATTTAAACTATTCTGGATTAGAGAAACCTCAGTACTTTCCTGAAAATAAGAGCGATCTCCATTTCCTGAACAAGTTATGTTCCAAAAGGGTAGGGATCATGTCACAGCTGGAGTTTCAGTTCTAAGGCTAGCTCACCAATCACGTTGTATACCAAAAGTATTATGTCAATAATGCTGTGAAATTTAACAACGCATACTTAAATGTCTCTATGAAAAGCCTTACATTTTCAGTTTGGGTTGGCAATATCGCATCATCTTTTACTGTGATGGAATTATGGAAGTCTCCCTGACACTCCTATCTTTTAGCAAGAAGAAAGGAAAATCTTTCTAAATTAATTTTTCTAAGTATCACTAAGGGCCAGTTTAGTGATTTAAGTAGCTGAAGTGTTGGAGAGAAAACTCACTTTTTGGCACTGGATTCTGACCTTAATTTCTTCTTTTCATTCTTTCTCTCTGTCTTTCTTTATTCATCTGCTTTCTTTCACAGCACCATCTATGGCTTAGAAGTAAAGTTTCTGTTCATGATGGCCTAACACAGAAGAAAAATAGTGGTTTTTTTCTTTAATCTCCTTTTCTAAAACAAACAAAATTCTTTCTCATTATTTCTTTGTCATTTGTAGGAATAAGGTAATAACTCTCCTTTTTTAAAGCAACATTACCCTTCTTTCACTTAGTGATTTTATTTTTTTAAGTTTTTTTTTCACTTAATGATTTTAGAGGTACATATGGATGGTGGAAAGTAATCTCTGTACAAAAAGGGCTTAAAGGACATCAATCCACATTTTGGTGGAAAGCCAGTCATAGGCCATGCTGTAGAGTCACCAAAGGCACTAACTCTGGGGATGCCTGGGTGGCTCAGTGGTTGAGCATCTGCCTTTGGCTCCGGTTGTGATCCTGGGGTCATGGGCTTGAGTCCTGCATCAGGCTCACTGCAGGGAGCCTCGTTCTCCCTCTGCTTATGTCTCTGCCTCTCTCTAAGTGTCTCTCATGAATAAAATAAATAAAAAGCCTTAAAAAAAAACAGGTACTAACTCTGGGATAGGAGGAGCTTTTATGGAATCTGGCATAAGAACTGATAATGATAAGGACAGTGCAATGGGAATGACCAGATCTAAGAGAGGAGCAGAGTGGAGGTATGGTAACTTACTGAGATTTAGCACTTCATTCTTTAGATTTTTTTTTTTTCTATTCTGACCTTAACTAAGAGAAAGGCTGAGAAGTACAGAGAAGATGGATCAATAGGACAAAATATTAGGTTTAAGCCAAGGAGAAAAGGGAAGGTAGAAGAATTTTCAAGATATTTTCCTATTTTGGATGTGTATCTGCATCATCTCAGGCTTGTTTTCCTTGAAGAGCTTTGAATATCCTTTATATCTCATCAGCAGTTTCCTTCCTCCTTTAAAAGGTATCTTAAGACATGGTTTGTGCTCAGTTAACTCTGTTTTTGTGGAATTCAACTTTAAATTCATAGAAATTATATTCATTGAGTGGTTATGTATAGTAGGTGCCATTTCAGAACCTATGAGTAGGTCAGTGTGCTTACACTGGGGCCCTTGAAGTTCATGAATTTATAAACCACATTAAAAAGCATGATCCCTGGAACATTCACTTCAGGCGAAACAAAGAGACCTGAGTTCATTTGTGATGCATGTGAATAAGCAAAATTAAACAAATTTATTTTGCTGCAGAATTCTACTAATTTATTAACATGATATGCGTATTGTAACTCTCCAAAAGGGAGGTGCAGTGTTCATCCCTCAAAGATATTATTAGCCAGAGAATTCTTTTTAAAACACTACTTCCAAGAACTAGGACGGTTTGGAATACAATATGTGAAATGCGGAAATATATTTCATTTTAGTATCATTTTCCCACATGTTTTAAGGCTAGGCCTTTTCTAAAACATAAATCTAAGAGCTCAAGGAAAAAAGTCTTTATTTTTTTGGTATTTGTCATGCTGCAATTTTATCAGCATTACTTATTTGAAATCAACTGGAGAATTTATTTGGAAAGAAAGGTTCTATAACAAAAAAATATGATAACCACTAATCTAGCCAAGTGCCTCATTTTTGTAAGTTAGAAAACTTGAGGCCAGACATTCCTTGAAGTGATTAATTATAGATCTTATAAAAGCTAAGGCTCAGAACCCTAGTCCAGTATTCTTTTGTATTCCCCAAACTACAGTATGTCCAGTAAAGCTCAGATATAGTAAAAATGGGCTGTAATACATAACCCACTCAGTGACAACAAAATTTAGTTCTTCCTAGCCTATTCCTCAAGAGTATTTGCTTATTTATTTCATGCACATAATTTTTTCTCATTGAAATAAGGTGCTTCACTGATATTTTATTCTTATACAATCTGTACTTCATTGGACTAATACATATTCAATAATATTTTAATTAAATTCTGTAATATTTTTCTCTCTCAAAGTAATTACACCAATGTCTGTTAAGTAACCTTTTTGCTGCATATGCCTATTGTTCTTTATTTCTTATGGCTCCATTTTCTCACTCTTGGCTTAAAATTCTCAACTGCCAGTCATTGTGATTAAGGAGCATGATTATGGGCTTTGGAGTGAATCACAACTGTTCTTGTATTCCAGCTCCATTTACAAGGTATGTGACCTTGGGCAGATGACAAAACTTCTATGAGTCTAAATTTTCTCAATAGAAGTAAGGTGTGATGTCAGCTTCATGGGTTACCACAAAGTTCACAGATTTTTCTGTTCAGACCTTGGACAAAGTCTTAAACCCCAGGTCCATTCTTTTTGATTTTCCTTCCGTCTCTCCCTTTCCTTTCTCCCTCCATCCTTTCCTTCCCACTTCCATCCCCGCATTATAGCAAACAAAGCCTAAAGTGTCCATTGCTGGTATCGTTGGTTGCTTTTGGAGATGTCTTTCCCCAACCTGAGTTGAATTGGACACAAATTCTCCAACCATGAGGCTATTTTATAATTTAAAGGACAAGGCTTTTTTTACTCTAAAGCAAATCACTTCATAAAAATAGATGAGAAAACACAAATAGGTCACAGGAACATTGGAAAGCTGTAATTATAGTTTTATAGTTTTTTGTTATTTTGTTATAGTTTTTGTACCTGTTGTAGAGATACCAACTCATTTCCTTTCTTACCATTTTGAAGTCTATATTAGACTTCTGTTTTCAGCTTTCCTTTCTAAAGGTAGGATTTTTCAGATTGTACTCCTTCTTTAATTTTACTCAGGGAATGAAACAGACATTCTAACCCATCATATTAGACGTATCCTGATCAGTCATCAGTCACCTCTTATTTCTAATGGGGACTAGGCATTCTTGAGAGTCTCTGCACAGTGTACCTTCCACCTCAACTGACCACTCCAAAGGATCATTACCCTTCATCCTCATGAGATTGAACAAGACAGCATGTTGTCTATATGGCATTTTTCCAGGTTCATAGTATGTCATCAGGAAATGTTAGTTTTCCCTTTCCCTCATTCCAAAGTGGGAGGAGAACAGAAGCTGTCACCAATTCCATGTAAAGAAAATTATTAGTGGCTAATTCTGTGAACTAATTTATATTATAGTTTAATTTAGCTTTCTTACCACTTTTCCATGTGCATCTGACTGCTCTAAGGTAGGCTTTTACTTACCTCTACTTTTTGGGAAGCTTTACTGCTAGCACCTTCCCTTACCTGCATTTTTTATTCATTTTTTTCTTGATGTTTTTTTTCTGTTTGAACTTATCACTTGACTATGCTTTCTTCTCTCTTGTCTATATAGTCTTCAAGATGCCACTTTGCCTAAAATATCAATCTTGTGGTTTGTATACAGCTCTTGTATATTGGTAAGAGTTCTCCATGATTTTCTATCCTCATCTCAATACATTTATTCTTGGGTTTTATGAGCCAGGAACAGCTGAATCACATCAACCCATATGAACATCAGGGTTGCTTTATCAACTTTCCCTCATATATTCTCCCACAATTGGCCCACGATGCTATATGCCATGCAGGTAGAATGATAGAGCCCTAACGAAAGTAATTATAGCCACATCTTTCAAAACTAAACAGCTGTGTTATATTCAAACTCCATTACATATAAATGAGAAAGCTTGCATTTGGACACTTGTCTGTGTTTTGCTTCCAGGGAGTATCTAGATACCCAACTCTTTGCTCATTTATGAAGACCTTCCCTTTAAAAACATTTAGATAGGAAAATTTTGCTGCAGCTATTACAAAAGTTGAAATTGAAGCCAAAACATTCAAGCCAACATTCATGCAAGTATATCCTTTGCTGTACAGTTAGAATTTGGAATAATTACGTCACTTATGAAAGATAGTGTGTTCCAAATGGCACTGTTTAACTTTCCATTTGCTATTGTATAGAATCAGTTAAATGATAGTTAAAATTGAGCAAGTTAGCTAAATTAAGAATAGGGGGACTATAACATTGTTAAAGCTTTTTGTCGTTTTAAATCGTAAATTTTCATGTTTCCCTAGCAGCAGAGGTCATTGGCATTATAACATTTTCTTTTGTCCCTTTGGGTTGTTGCTGCCATCAAAATTACATCATTTTAAAGAGTTCTAAGCAGCTGAGAAGCTCAACAAATGACCTGTAGCTTCTTCCACTGTTATTACATGTTGAAGTGGAAATCAGTTCTTTGCGTCAAATTTTCTAGTATGAGAAGAAAAAATTTATCTTTTGTCAAAGTAACTAAGAAAATCACTAAAGAGCCTATATAACTTTAGTCTTATTAGACACTCATTGGGATATCTTTAGTGAGATTCAGAGAGAAAGTAAGAGAAAATGTTAAGAACTGGTTTATATAGATTCTGGTCCCTTAGAGGGAGGTTAGCACTTTATATTAGGAAGTCTAGTTATCACTTCATGTATTCTTAGAAACTTAAAAATGTAGGGCAGAACTACTGAAAGAGCCATGACATTCTATAATTTGGATAGCAAAAGAAAGTATATCTGAAGGACCTGGGATTCTTTCATGTTCAAATAGTGCCTTAGAACTAGTGGTAAAGAGAGACCATAAAGATTCAGTGGAATTTCTCTCTTATTAAGCATGCTGCATTTCTTTATATTCCTTCACATGTTGTTCTTCAGTGCTTCTGTTATCAGAATTCTGTTCCATAGATGAAGGCACTTTCCTACCCTCTCATTGAGCTCAGCAAGATTTTTTTTGCAACTTGTGATTTTTTTGGTTGTTTTGATTTTATTTAAATTTAATTTGCTAACATATAACACCCAGTGCTCATTCCATCAAGTGCCCTCCTTAGTGCCCATCCCCCAGTTACCCCATCCCCCACCCTTCTCCCTTTCTGCAACCCTTTGTTTCCCAGAGTTAGGAGCCTCTCATGGTTTGTCTTCCTCTCTAATTTTCCCCACTCAGTTTTCCTCCTTTCCCTTATAGTCCCTTTCAGTATTTTTTTTTATATTCCACATGAGTGAAACCAAATGATAATTGTCTTTCTTTGATTGACTTATTTCACTCAGCACCATACTCTCCATTTGTCAAAGCAAATGGTAGGTATTCATCACTTCTGTTGACTGAGTAATATTCCATTGTGGGTAGATACAGATATAGATATAGATATAGATATAGATATAGATATAGATATAGATATAGATATATAGATCTACATCTGTATCTTTGGGGTAAATACCCAGTAGTGCAATTGCTGGGTCATAGGGTAGCTCTATTTTTATCTTCTTGAGGAATTTCCACACTACACCAGCTTGCATTCCAACCAACAGTGCAAGAGGGTTCCTCTTTCTCCACATCCTTGCCAATATTTGTTGTTTCAAAAATACGGAAGGCTTCATGAATTTGCATGTCATTCTTTGCACAGGGGCCATGCTAATCTCTGTATTGTTCCAATTTTAGTATATGTGCTGCCGAAGTAAGCACAACTTGCAATTTTTTTTTGTATAAGAAAACTTATTGTTATTAAGGCTACTTATGAGACAGAAACAAACATGATTTTACATTTATACAAAACTTGTAATCGAAAATGTGAAAGTGTGACACTAAGGGTAAACCTCCCATGAACCTATTTTTAGACTGTTCATGAATCTTAAAATGAAGAGGTACCCCCGCCATGATGAGTACTGAATGATGTAAAGAATTGTTAAATCATATATTGTATACCTGAAACTAATATACCACTGTATGTTAACTATATTGGCATTAAATTAAAAAAATATGCAATAAAATTAAAGAAAAAGATATATCCTCTTTCCCTTCCCCAGTGCTTAATCATGGGAACTTTCTAGTCACAAAGACTAGCAAAATGAATTTGTTCATGATCCCTTCTTGGTGGTACTGTATAAACTAAACCTGTAAGTCTTTTGAAGTTTACCGCCCCCCCCCCCCTTTTTTTAGGTTGTTGGTTTGGAGTTCTGACTTTGTTGGTTGTGAAAATTCCCAAACTGCATGTGAATACTTGACAGATAATGACTATATATGCTACAAGAACAGACATAAAATATGATTCCATCTAAATCTGTCAACTTAGACCATAATTAGTATAATTCTATATTGTTTTAGTTGCATTACATCATTTAGTTTTAAAGCAAACAAATATTTCATCAGAAGAAAAATGTGTAAATGTTGAGTCAGCAGAGCCTAGAGCAATTTCCTGTGCCTTAACGTCAAGGAAATCTTGCAGAGACAAGTGTTTTAGAAATTTCTGAAATAAAGCTAAAATAACAAGGACAAATGTCACATTGCTTTATTCAATTGAAATAAAAGGGAAGAGCTCTTGTTGTAAAGATTGTAGCAAAAAAGAGACATCATGGGAGGTATATATTTCAATGAATGTCTGTAGCATGCTAAACATATTTGGAGCATGCAACGTGTAGCATCAAAGAAGAGGTTAGAAACTATAAGAATTTGACTTTTTGGATTACTTTGTAGTGCTTTTCATTTTCAAAAAAGGAACAGACAATGTGTTTCCAGGGAATTCCCGTCTCTTTTGGATGGTATTTGGTGTGGATCCTCAAGTATGTCATCACTATCCCTTGATAAAGAAGTATGTCTTTTTAAAGCAAAGGGCAACCTTCTGCAGCTAGATAATCATATATTTTTCTTTGAAGACTGGGTGCAAGGATGGCCACTTTATCCTCTGGGAATGGCTGTGTACTTTTGGATTCTCCCACACTCTGGGAATTGTCCTTAGGCAACTTTGGATGGATCCATGCTGGGCTTTTGAGGGTAGAGTTTTAAAGCTCAGAAGAGAAGGTTGAAAAACAATCTTTTTCATCTCCAAATGAAAATGCAAGGAGTTTTTTTAAAAACAGAATGTAATTAGCCTAAGTGGAATTGGGCCAAGAAAGAAGCATTAACAGGCTAAATGTGCCCCCAGTTCTTGGAAGATTTCAAAGATGGGCTCATTCTTAACTGTCATGAAGAAAAGGTGTAGTAGCATTTATAAAAGTCTAAAATAGGTAAATGGGAGACATGAAAGGAAACAGTTCAATTTTCTCACAAAAATGACAACTGAAGCTAGCCAACCCCTCCCCAGTCTTAAAATCCATGTGACTAATTTTTCTAAGCAGTCACTGGAATGTTCCTGCTGGGAACAGGACAGATAATATATGTAGCTGGCACTGTCAACAGAGAGAAACTATTGTTCCAGTTGGGGAATGGAGGCCAACTCCCTTCAAGACTTAAAGAAAAGCTAATGTAAGACACATCTAAAGTAACCGAAATGAGAAAGGGGAAAAAAAAAAATCTCAAATTAACTATGCAGTGTGCCAACTGACCAAATGTAAAACAAAACAAAACAAAACAAAATAATCTCTTTCCCTCAAACTAAAAAAGAAGAAAAAAAGAACATTTGTCTTTGTGCTTGCTCTGTGTTCATTTTGGCTTGCTTCAGATACTTTTCCAAGTTTAAGTTTGAAACTTGATGACTCCCAGGAGCAGAAATGTTCTTTCCTAGGTGTCATTTTTATCTATCTCTGTCAAGCCCTTTAATAAGAAATCAAGGAGAACCATCATTTAAGAGAAGAAAAGGAAAAAAAAGGATACAGTAGATGGTTGACTCCAGAATAAAAGGTAGTAGAAATATAGTAAATTTACCTAAAGAAGGAGGATTTCTTTGGGTGATAGAAAGGTCTGAGAACAGTGCCTTTTAAAATATGACATCTGGAACTCACTAGAATTAACTACTTTATGGGGAAAAAAAACCTCTCCAGATTAAAAAAAAAAATTCCTCCTACCCAGATTTTTTTTTTAACTGCCTACTTTTTCATTTTAGGTAAAAAGACAATTAGAGTTTGGGAGATAAAGATGTGTTTATGTGCTTTTGTAACTCAAAGGCAATTTTGATTTTAATATCAAACTCTTTCAGATTTTGGCTTGTCATGAGAGCAAATGCCCCAGAGTGTTTGTTTTAGTCTTTAATTGAACCGCTTATATGTGAAACTTGAAAGAGATCTTTAGTGTCTCCTGCAAGGACATTTCATACATGCAATGTGGGTTGGTCAGCTGGAAGTTAGAACAACAGGATTTGAATCCCCAGCTGAGCGAGACTGGATAAATAATATAACTGGAAAATGGCAATAATAGCAGTTGACTTCTTATATCATAGATTTATAGAAAAGATTAAATGAAATAATGAATGTGAAAGCACACTAAAATCTGTCAAAAGTTGTATGAAGTAAGGTACTGTTTTCCTTAGTGTGTTCTTTTCTCAATACACTTGCTTTATATTAGTTTCTTTTCAAATCTTTATTTCTATTTCATCTCTTTGAGTTGTACTTATTTTACTGTAAGTTTTTTTTAAAGAATTAAGTAGATAATTATTTACATGGTTAAGTTTTTTTTTCTCATTTATTTCTGTCAATTTCTAGTGTTCATTTCAGAGATTTTGACTCAAGTTAGGAGACTAGCTCTCTGAAATCACCCTTTGTCCCAGTTTACCTCAATGCTCAAGAGTCCTGCATAGAAATGAAGGCAAAGGAGCACAATATAATTTTAAAGACATTACAAACACTTAATCTTCCCTCTAAAAATATGAACATTTATGGGGCGCTGGTGGCTCAGTTGGTTAAGATCTAACTCTTGATCAGTCTAGGTCTTGATCTCAGGGTCATGAGTTCAAGCCCTGCTTTGGGCTCCACACCAGGCATGGAGCTGACTTAAAACAAAAACAAACCTGAACAATTATGCTACATATGAGGAAAATGCAAGGGAGGGAGATACTGGAGGAAAGTACATGTGTGAAAAGTGGTGGCAAACCCAGTAGAAAATAGGCAATGACATGGGACTGTGGGATCAGAATCAAAAGGTATTTTAGAATTCTCTGGTAATACCCACAGCATGATAAAAGGAATCTTTTAAATAACATCTCAACTCAGCATTTCTGACAAGCTCAGTCAGTGCCAAAGCTGCTGCTCCTCAGACAACAATTTGAGTAGTAGGCCGAATGTCACTGTAATTATTTTTCCCTTACAAGTAACACTCCAAAAATAATATCTATGGAGAAATTGTGGCTATGGAAATACTATCCCAGAAAAATTTCCATTTTTGTATGACTTTATTGAGCTGAGCCTGATGTACAACGAACTGGCATTTTTAAGTGTAAAATTTGATGAGTTTTGACATATGATATATGACCATGAAACCATTAAAACAGCCACAATCATGAACATTTCTATCACTCAAAAGTTCTTCGTGCCCCTTTGTCATCTTTCCTTGATTTCCCCTCTCTGTAGCCTGTGTGCCCACTAATCTACTTTCTGTCATTTTAGATTATTTTCCATTTTCTAGAATTTTATATAAAAATACAATATGATATGTACTTTTTATTATCTAGCCGCTTTCATTTCCTTCACTCAGCATAAATATTATGAGATTCACCATTTTTGAAAATGGTGAAAATGTCTTATAATTGAGTTGCATGTATTGAGTAGCATGTACTTTTTATTGCTGAGTAGTATTTCATTGAATGTATGTACTGCCCTGTGTTTATCCGTCCAGCTGCTGATAGACATTTGTGTCATTTCTAGTTTGGGGCTGTAACATTAAACTGTTATGGATATTCATAGACATGTCTTTGAATGGACATATTTTATTTCTTTAGGAGAAGAATGACTGAGTTGTATAGCATGTGTATGTTTAGCTTTTTATGAAATTATCAAATGTTCAGTGGTGATGGTATCATCTTACACTTCCACTAGCAATGCTTGAGGATTCTATTTGCTCCTTCCCCGCTTGTTTAGTTGGTGTGAACAGTCTTTAATTTTAGCCATTCCAATTGTTATGTAACAGTATCTCATCATGGTTTTAGTTTGCATTTCTCTAATCATTAATGATGTTGAGGAGGTTTTCATGTTTACTTGCCATTCATATATCTTCATTTGTGAAGTTCCTATTCAAATGTTTTATCATTTTTGAAAATTGGAAGTTTGTCTTGGTATGCTGTACAAGTTCTTTACACATTCTAAATCAGGGATTGGTAAACATTTTCTTTAAAGGGCCAGAAAGTGAATATTTTAGGCTTTATGGGCCATGTGATTTCTGTTGCAACAATTTCAGCTCTGGCCTTGTATCATGAAAACAGCACTTGAGACCTAAATGGATGAATATGGCTGTGTATCAATAAAACTTTATTGACTAAAACAAATGGCACATCAGACTTAGCCAATGGATTTGTTTTGCTGATTTTTGTTCTAGATGAAAGTTCTTTTTCAGATATATGCTTTGCAAACGTATTTTCTCTGGTTGTGACTTGTCCTTCCATTTCCATAAGAGTGTCTTACAAAGAACATAGGTTTTACATTTTGATAAAATTTAATATTTTATTGATTTTTTAAATAGTCCATGACTTTTGTGTTTTATTGAGGAATCTTTGCCTAACCCAGGACTTATTCTTAGTTTTTTTCCCCAAGCTAAGGACTCTT